CTTGCTGTTGGATGTAAAGGAAATTTTTAAAAAAAGTAGTTGTGACTATGTATACCATCTATTTGTATTGTACTGCTGTAAAGGTAGAACAAAAACATTTTGAGCCTTAAATTAGTAAAAATAAATAAGAACACTGAGCCAGGGCAAAATTTTACTGGTTCTTTTTTTTTTCAAAGTGTCAGTACATACGGTATATAAACATCGTCAGTACTGTATATAAAATTTTAGGATATTGTTACAGAGTATATTTGCCATCTCTAGGCGCCAACCAGCATGTTTTAGTATGAAGTTTAATTTAAACTCGTAAACAATTGGATCTTTCCTATACGTTACTATTTTCTATTACAGAAGAGCAATTAGAAAGAAACATGCCTGTCTTACATGGCTATCAAGACACCGTAAAATATAAGGGACTTTTACCATGCTGTTACCTTTCTCTAAACATTAACCTAATAAAGTCTACGTTGAGGACCTTGCAAAACTGCAAATGGCGTCATGTAACACCACAAGTGCTGTTTAATAGCGTCGAGCAATCACGCACAATACGAATTTATAAATAATATTCTTCCAACCATGAAAGTGTATTAATAAGAATATTTGTTATTTGCAAAAAAAAAAATTGAACTACCAACAATGTGTGTACTTTGTTGATTGAAGGTCATTTTAAGCAAATACCGTCCTGGAATTAAGTAGGATTAGGGCTAGCTTAGTAAAAAACTAATTCCTCCATGGGCCTACGTCGAAGTAGGTCTAGGAGCCTAACTATTGACATTTGTACTACTAAAAAAAATTTAATTTATAACTTAATTGAACTCGGTTACAGTAAGGTATGATATTCTACGTTCATAGACACATTAATTTTACTGCATTTCTCCTGTGTACGTAAGCTAATTATCTCATAATATATTTATATCATTTTTTAACTTCCATGCTCCTTTCTTCAAATTCAATGTCTATTTAAGGGGCATACACTTTTTTTTTTATATATAAGAACCAGTAAAATTTTCCCAGGCTCTGCGTGTCCTTATTTTTTGGCCGATTTAAGGCTCGAAATGTACCGTAGGCCTACTTATGTTGTGCTTATTTTTACACACATAGAAAATTATTATTTTACAAAAGTAGATTAAGGTACTGTACTACATTATAGAGGGTTAAATAATCACATTATGGTCACACCTACTGCAAATATGAGATTTGGGATTTTTTTTTTTTTTTTTTCAAAATAAAACCTTATTTTATATTTTACCGCAGCCTCAATCTGTTCTTAATCTTTAAAGTTCTAACTACGACTAAATCAAGTCCTAGTTGTAGTTCAGCTGAAGACGGCGGGCAACCAACAGCTATCAAACTAACCAATGAAAAGAGCTAATTTTAATAGCAGACGAAATTTTAGAGATCCAGTAAATGCGGAAAAATATTAAACTGCTGTCTGTCTTTCAAAAACATATTTCTTCATAATAGACCATTATTATTTATTTAGTCGTTAACATGTAACAATAGAGAATTTGAACTGTCACGGAAAATTTGCTTTCTTTGGAGAACTATTATAGGTGATCATCATTCCTGATGATGACATAATTAATGTCGAAATATGAATCCCGACACGACGGCGTGCATTTCGATACTTGGAGTATGTATTATAGGATATTATCTTATCTGAGATTAATCAATGGACCTTTCGGTTATTATAGGTGAGGTCGAGCGAGGGCGGTGCCATCTTTGTTGACCGCAACGCGAAGGGAATTTCGTGCAAATCAGGAACTGTTGCATGTGGCTAGCAAAACATGTTAATTTCGCCTTTTGGAAGGTAAACGTAATGACCCTTTTATTGAACACACTGGAGATACATCAGGCCAATTTATACAATCGTTTTTATTCATTTCACTTTATCGTAAGTTACGAAAAGCACGTTTTAGTGGGGTAAATATTTCAAGTCGTCGGCGATTTAGCCTGACCCTAGGCTGACTAAAAAAAATCGGCCTGAGAAGGTATAATTTTAGTCGAGGTTCGCGTGATTTAGTCGTAGTGCTAGTCGAATTCGTTTTAAGAATTACGAAATGACGTAATTTTGAAGTTTTAGCTCGAACTACTACTAAAGTTCGTTTTAGGAATACCGGGGACAGTCCTAAACAGCCTTTGGCTCTGAAACAGCGAGGTGCTCACCACTATTTATTTTAATTCGTAAGTGGATTACTTATTGTATTCGTGGTTGTTGCATATGCGTCCCTGGAGATATAATTTAAAAAAAAACCCTTGCTATATAATACGAACTCTGTTATAAACTTACCTATTTTGCTACCGGTAATAAGGAGTCACCGGCGCCGAATGACTCCAGAGCTTTGTTTTTCCCGACCATATTATTGTATAATTACAGTGGGCTTAATTGTATATTGGCTTTCTCCAGGGACGCAAATGCAATATAGTATATTTAAACGGGTCATCAAATACTAATGGTGATTTAATCATTTGGATTAATTTCAATTTAACAGAAGGTGGTGGTGAATTTTGATGGGTTATTGTGGCGCAATTGGCGAGCGCTCAGAACGCAAATTTTACACTATGTACACTTGGATTGTGAACATTTTACTCACTAGAATTTATAAGAAATATCAACAGCACAATATACCGTACACAACAAAATAAAGATCATGATATTGATATCCCGGTAGCCGGTAATCAAAATAATGATGAAAATAAGGATCATGCGATGGTGACGATAACAACGATGGGCCCCAGATTATAGGGGTCTTGGAATTAGAGACAAACTTTATTTACATCAATCTTAACAAGCTCTGTTTATTATTCCGGTACTTTATTTTTATTAGGAAGATTTCGTAACCTTACGAAAAAGATACCGGTAACGAATACGATTACGTCATCAGCATTATCGTCATTTGTGCCAACATTCTTGACAAAAGGGCGGATCCAGAGATTTTCTGACTGGGGGGGGGGGGCATATATGAAGTTTACGCCGCCACGCCCGCCTCAGCCCCACCAATAAGTGGTAAATAATCGAGCTCTCATTTCGCCCACTGCTGTATCGCCACTGAACTCATGGGTGCACTCCTTTTTTAGCTCTTCCTCTCTTTAACTCAAATTTGTCACGCTCTTTTTTATTTTTCGGCTTGACTGACGAGGGGAGGGGCACGGGCCGTCATGCCCCCCCCCCCCCCCTGGATCCGCCCCTGTGACAATCCATATACGAGCAGAGGATCGTTTTGTAAAAGGCATTAATGGCCTACGTTGTGACAGATATGCTACGGGATTGACTAAACATTTGATGACGTAACTGTATTCGTTTTCGTAAGCTCCCTATTCAACTTTTCCACTGTTAAAATGTATACAAATATAGAAACGCACACAATATTCACCTGATGAACGCCTACAGTGAATAGAAGGGCAACACAAAATTACGGTAGTTAATAATCTTGAAAAAAATTATTTACTTTGTGTTTGAAAGAAGAAATAGCCTATTTAGTTTACGGCTATGGGGTAAAGATAATTGACCTTAAACTGACCCATCCGTTGGCTCTCTTGAACTCTCGCCTATGGAACGCCAAAAGGACAAATTACAAGTGGCGCAGTGCAAAAGTCAAGTGG